AAGAATAAGATAAGAATAACTATAGTGTTACTATGATTCCTATTCAATACACTTAAGATAAGATAAGAATAAAATCAGAATAACTATAGTGTTACTATAGGTAGATAAGATAAGAATAAGATAAGAATAACTAAAGTGTTACTATAGGTAGATAAGATAAGAATAAAATAAGAATAACTATAGTGTTACTATAGGTAGATAAGATAAGAATAAAATCAGAATAACTATAGTGTTACTATAGGTAGATAAGATAAGAATAAAATCAGAATAACTATAGTGTTACTATAGGCGGATACAGATTTGTTTAACATTTTTGGTTGGTGGTGCCTCGAGACTTTTTCTATGAAAAAATTTACTTTGGCTCAAAAAAGGTTGAAAAACACTGCTCTAGTGGACAGGCGTCCTCTAGTGGTCAGATCTGGACAGATGTCCCCTAGTGGACAGATCTGGACAGATGTCCTCTAGTGGTCAGATCTGGACAGATGTCCCCTAGTGGACAGATCTGGACAGATGTCCCCTAGTGGACAGATCTGGACAGATGTCCTCTAGTGGACAGATCTGGACAGGCGTCCCCTAGTGGACAGATCTGGACAGATGTCCTCTAGTGGACAGATCTGGACAGGCGTCCCCTAGTGGACAGATCTGGACAGACGTCCCCTAGTGGACAGATCTGGACAGACGTCCCCTAGTGGACAGATCTGGACAGGCGTCCCCTAGTGGACAGATCTGGACAGACGTCCTCTAGTGGACAGATCTGGACAGACGTCCCATAGTGGACAGATCTGGACAGTTGTCCTCTAGTGGACAGATCTGGACAGACGTCCCATAGTGGACAGATCTGGACAAACGTCCCCTAGTGGACAGATCTGGACAGACGTCCCATAGTGGACAGATCTGGACAGATGTCCTCTAGTGCACAGACGTTCTTTAGTGGACAGATGTCCCCTAGTGGACAGATCTGGACAGATGTCCTCTAGTGGACACATATGGACAGGCGTCCCCTAGTGGACAGATCTGGACAGTTGTCCTCTAGTGGACAGATCTGGACAGACGTCCCCTAGTGGACAGATCTGGACAGACGTCCCCTAGTGAACAGATCTGGACAGATGTCCTCTAGTGGACACATATGGACAGGCGTCCCCTAGTGGACAGATCTGGACAGTTGTCCTCTAGTGGACAGATCTGGACAGGCGTCCCCTAGTGGACAGATCTGGACAGATGTCCTCTAGTGGACAGATCTGGACAGACGTCCCATAGTGGACAGATATGGACAGACGTCCCCTAGTGGACAGATCTGGACAGTTGTCCCCTAGTGGACAGATCTGGACAGATGTCCCCTAGTGGACAGATCTGGACAGACGTCCCCTAGTGGACAGATCTGGACAGACGTCCTCTAGTGGACAGATCTGGACGTCCCCCCTGTGTCCAGGTTCCTGTGTGGGAAGGAGATAAAGAAGAGGAAGTGCATCTTCCGGCTGAGGACCCGCGTGCCCCCCAACCCCCCCAGCCGTCTGTTTCCTGAGCGCGCTCAGAGCGAGGGGGGGCGGGGCCGGAGGGCCCTGAGCAGGTAGCCACGCCCCCCGGTAACCACGGTAACCC